TGTGGCTTGTAGGCACTGTCTGCTCTGTGCAGCTCCCGCGCATCCGCTGCGGCTCCGTGGGTGCTGGGGCTCAGCTGCAAGGCCATGCACCTTCTGGGACAGCCCTTCCCCAAGGTGAGAGCCCCCCTGCTCTGAACCCGACCCATTTTGCATGCGGATGCTGTGATGCGGTTGCCCGTGAGAGCCAGCCCTGGACAGCCCTTCTCAGTGCTATGGCCTTGCAAGTCGCTACTTGCCCCTGCTGGAGATGCGCCCATTTGTTGTGCAACAAAGACTCTCCAAACGCCCCTCAGCGCCGAGATGTAAAGCAGCTATATCCTCAAACAATAAATGATAGCCAGGAGCAGGCGTTACAGGTTTAACAGGTTATAGGTTATGGGCGCATACCAGGCAGACGGCTCCGGCCAGTGCCCGCTGCCCCTTGCATGCTAGACAGACTCCTGGTCTGACCCCGTGTAGCAGCTCCCATGTTGCATGCTCCAGGGGCCTGGGCTCTTTGCTCCGTTGCAGCCAGGTCTGGCGTGCCCAGATGCTGTGGCAATGGGCACCCCCACTGAGGCCGCTGCTTGGCTCTTTCAGGCCATACTTCTGTGCGTTGGGCTGGGGGTTTCTGCTCTTTATCTCAAATCGGCTCTGGGGATGCAGGTATGGGAAAAGCCCAGCTGCTCATGAGCGTGCAGCACCTGATTCCCGTGACCCCAGGTGGCGCGGCACACGCGGCCGTGCAGTAGAAATGGTCTCTGGGGCCCGTCAGGCATGCACACCTCTTCCTCTCTCCCTTCCTGGGTGCTGGACATAGAGGTTCCCAGAGGGGCAGGGAGAGGGCTTGGGCTGAGAGAGTTAATTTCCATCCTGCTGCTTTGCCCCTTCTTTGTAGCAGATGGGTGAGGGGTCTCCTAGGACCCTGGGAGCTGGGCCACAGCACGGAGCTATTCGAACCTCCGTTCAAGTCAGCAGGTCCTGACGACCTCCGCCCCAGGGTGCCGAGGGAACCGGCAGAGGTCATTGTGGGACCCCTGGCATGGCTTTATGGGCGCTCGCGGTGCTCTGGCGTGGTGCCGGAGGACTGGAAAAGGGCCAATGTGGTCCCCATTTTCAAAAAAGGGAGGAAAGAGGACCAGGAAACTACAGGCCCATTAGTCTTACCTTGGTCCTGGGGAAGCTCTTTGAGAAAATTATCCAGGTGCACATCTGCAAGAGGCCAGCATGGGGGATGATGCTTAGGGGCAACCAACACGGGTTCATTCGAGGCAGGTGCTGTCAGACCAACCTGGTGGCCTTCTACGACCAGGTCACAACATCCTTCGACGCAGGGGTAGCAGTGGACGTAGTCTTTCTGGACTTTAGGAAGGCCTTCGACACTCTCTCACCCCATTCTCATTAAAAAGCTAGGGGGCTGTGGTGTTGACACCTACACAGTGAGATGGGTCACTAACTGGCTGGAGGGCCGCACCCAGAGAGCGGTGGTGGATGGGTCATTTTTGACCTGGAGGGATGTGGGCAGTGGGGGCCCCCAGGGCTCGGTCCTCGGGCCCGCGCTGTTCAACATCTTCATCAGCGACTTGGACGAGGGGGTAAAAAGCACCCTGGTCAAATTCGCAGACGACACTAAGATGTTGGGGGAAGTGGGCACGCTAGAAGGGAGGAATAGGCTGCAATCGGACCAGGACAGGTTCCAGGGGTGGGCGGATGAGAACAGGATGGGTTTCAACACTGACAAGTGCAAGGTCAGATGCATCTCGAGCAGGTCCAAGGAGGTGATCCTCCCCCTCTATGTGACACTGGTCAGGCCGCAGCTGGAGTACTGCGTCCAGTTCTGGGCGCCGCACTTCAGGAGGGATGTGGACAGCATGGAGAGGGTCCAGAGGAGGCCACCCGCATGGTTGGGGGCAGCAGGGCAGGCCCTACGAGGAGAGGCGACGGGACCTGAACCTGCTCAGCCTCCACAAGAGAAGGCTGAGGGGGATCTGGTGGCCTGTTACAAACTAGTCAGAGGGGAGCAGCAGGCACTGGGGGAGTCCCTGTTCCCCCGAGCACTACCGGGGGTAACAAGGAATAATGGCCATAAGTTGGCGGAGGGTAGATTCAGACTAGACATCAGGAGGTGCTACTTCACAGTCAGGGTGGCTAGGATCTGGAACCAACTTCCAAGAGAAGTGGTGCCGGCTCCTACTCTGGGGGGCTTCAAAAGGAGGTGAGATAATCACCTTGCTGGGGTCATTTGGCCCCAGCATCCTTTCCTGCCACGGCAGGGGGTCGGACGTGATGATCTGCTTCCGACCCTACAAACTATGAAACTATGAAACCGGAGTGCCAGCAGGTGGGTGGCAAATGCCGGCCGTGTCTCAGGGAACAGGGATACAAGCAGAGGGCGCGAGTGGCGCTCAAAAGGAGGTGAGATAATCACCTTGCTGGGGTCATTTGGCCCCAGCATCCTTTCCTGCCACGGCAGGGGGTCGGACGTGATGATCTGCTTCCGACCCTACAAACTATGAAACTATGAAACCGGAGTGCCAGCAGGTGGGTGGCAAATGCCGGCCGTGTCTCAGGGAACAGGGATACAAGCAGAGGGCGCGAGTGGCGCTGCTCCCTGGAGGGTGTCTGCACCCCATGCCCTGGCCCCAGCCCGTGTCTCCCCCAGGCGCTGGTGACGTTCGAGGACGTAGCGGTGCGGTTCTCGGCCGAGGAGTGGGCCATGCTGGCAGGCTGGCAGCAGGCGCTGCACAAGGAGGTGATGGAGGAGACCGCTCGGCTGCTGCTCTCGCTAGGTGAGGCGCGTGCGGTCCCTGGCTGGGAGACCCAGCACCCGGCTAACCCTTCCCCATGTTACAGCCTGCAGGTCCCCTCTAGGTACAGAGCGGTGCTAAAACTGGGCCCGGCAACACCTGGTTTTCCGCAGCCTGTGTGGACGAGGCTGGTCTGTCCCTGTCGGTGCTGCGAGCAAACCATGCTTAGACCGTCTGATCATAGACTTTGCTCTGCCACGTGTGGTCGGGTGCAAAGAATAGGTGTCACCTCCGTCCTCTGCAACATCAACTCCCTGCCGCTCCCATTCCCTAGCTGATGAGTCCCTGGCCAGCCCGGCTCTAGGCACCGGGCTGGGCGAGACTCACCGTGCCCCATCTGTCCTGTTCCCACCAGGTCAGTCCGTCCCTGCCCTGGCTCTCCTCTCCTTGACTGACCATCAGGAAGCAGCGGGGAGGCTGTTTGCCCGTGACGCCGCGGGGAGAGACCTCAGTGGCGATGGAGGTAAGTGAGCCCTGTCCTTACCGGGGCTAGAACCACCCGCAGGGCTCCCCACAGCTGCAGTCAACGCTGGTTAATTCGCCAGGCCAAAGGGAAAGCAAGTAATGGGGGAACGTGCAGGAGCGACCAATTATCAGGTGCTGCTAAGGGGGGGCTGTGCTGCCTGGAGATCAAATGAAACCACAGCAGGAGATTATCCCACAGGCCAATTAACTGGAGTTTGCTGCATCATTGCACCTCTCTGAGGCCGAGGATTTAGGCAGATCATTGGGCGAGTGCCTGTGATAGCACGTTGCATCACATCCGGCCACACGTGATGCCCAATCTGAGCTCCTGGTCCACGGATGAGGTTTCCTGGGGGGCTTTTGGCATGAGGGTGGGATGAAGGGGAGGCCACAGGGTCTGTAGCAAGAGGCTGCAGCTGCTCCAGCCTCGTGCTCCTGCTCTGGCTGGGATCATGACAGCCTGCTTGGGGGGCAGACCACGACCAGCATCCAGGGACCCTGGTCTTCTGAAGCCCAAAGACAAGGTTCCCTTTGGGTGGAAGTTGCTATGAGACTGGTCCCACTCCCGCTGCCTCCCTGCGCTGCTCTGGTAGCATGTAGGGACCATTAACAACCAGCAGGCATTGGGGGTGAGCTCCCCAATGCAGGCACAACATTTCCCTTGCAAACCCTGGCGTAGCTGGGAGGTTGGGGGTGGGAGGAGGCAAGCCCATGGCTCCTGGTGCTTAGAGGACAGGAGTGAGGCAGCATCTCGACCTGCAGCAGGAGCGAGAGCAGCCCTGACTCTAGAGGATGCAGAGATGCAGCAAAGCTGAGCATCCTGGGAGGCATGAGTGGGAGCTTTGCCAGATGGAGGGCAGTGATTCTCCCCCTCTATTCAGCACTTGGGAGGCCACATCTGGAGTCCTGTGTCCAGCTGTGGGCCCCCCGCTACAGAAAGGATGTGGACAAATTGGAGAGAGTCCAGAGGAGGGCAACAAAGAGATTAGGGAGCTGGGGGACAGGACTGGTGAGGGGAGGCTGAGGGACTCGGGCTTATTTAGTGTGGAGGAGAGAAGACCGAGGGGGATTGAGAAGACCGGGGTGCTGCAAAGAGGATGGAGCTGGGCTGTTCTCAGTGGGGGCAGATGACAGGACAAGGAGCAGTGGACACACATTGCAGCAAGGGAAGTTGAGGTTGGATATTAGGAAAAAACGTCCTCTCAAGGAGGATAGTAAAACACTGGAATAGGGTACACAGAGAGGTGGTGGCATCTCCATCCCTGGTGGTGTTTAAGACCCGGGTAGACAAAGCCTTGGCTGGGATGATGCAGTTGGGGCTGGTCCTGCTTGGAGCAGGGGTTGGACTAGATGTGGCCGTCACTGTCAGTGATTCGAGGAAGCTTCATGTCCAGCGTCCTCCTCCTCTTGCTGGCGCAGATCCACCCAGCAACCGGGGGCGATGGCTCTGCTGCCTTTGGGGTTTCCTCCGGGCAGTGGGAACCCCCCGTTCCCTTGTAAAGCAGAGTGGGGGTCCGTGAAATCACAGCCATGCATGAAGGCCCCTTGCCTTTGCAGGAGAAGAACGGGCTTTCCCAGGGGATTACCCAGACGCGGATGTGCCCTGGGACCTGGGGCAGGTGGAGGAGGACGGGTCCACCCCGGGCATCCAGGAAGGTAAGAAGTTTCCAGGTGTGGGACAGATCCAGCAGTGGATGGGTCACCACGTGGGGCTTCCCATGACCTTCCCCATGTCTCACGCAGGGGAGCCGCAGGGCAGCCTGCACCTCAGCGCCCTGATTAAGCTGGTGAAGGAGATCCCCGAGTTCCTCTTCGGGACCTCCAAGGCCCCCGCAGACCCAGCCGAGGCTGCCGGGAGCAGCGATGCCGCGACGAGCACTGAGCAGGCTGGCGGTAAGGGCGTGCTGCCAACCCAGCCGCGTTGCAGAAGCCTCTGGCCAGGCTGGTTCTTGCATCCCCTGGCGAGACCCGGGTCAGGCTGACGGGATGCATGCACCAGCTGAGCCAGCGCTCAGCCGCGAGCCCAGGCTGACCCTGGCCGTGTTTGTGCAGTAAAAACAGAGGATCCCCCTGAGACCCCTCACCCCCCTGGCCTGGAGAGCGGGGCAATGGACGTGGCTCTCAGCTGGCCCAGCCACCCGGATACCCCCGCCAGCTCCGTGTCCACCAGCAGCGCAGAAGGCAACGAGCGGGGATCTCCCCCGGGGAGCCTGTATGCAGGTGAGTCATGGGAGCACTAGTCGGGGTGATGGTCTGGGGCACAAGGGGCTAAGAGCTGCTTGGGTAGCTTGGCACGTGCCAGGCATGATACCGTCTCGGGCATCTGAAGGGCGGTGGAAAGGTTTAGTCTTGAGGATGTGGGCATAAGGTCATGATGCTGGTGTGAAGGAGGAGTGGCAGACAACACAGACCCCTACCCCAGGGTAACTCTTCCTAGTTTGGTGACAAATGACCCCTGGGAGAATCGGAGAGAAACCTCTGTGGGGGTAAGTCACACTGGCTGAGGTTTCATCCATCCCCTTTCATCCCGGGGCAGCCGGTAGGTCAAGACGAGCAGGCTCTTCTGGGCCTGGTGGTGGCATGAGGGACCCATGCCCCAGGACAGCCATGCATCTCTCTATTCCTGATCCCACGATAGGGTCTAGATGTTAGTGACAGTGGGGTAAATACATGCGTGTGCACACCCGGAGATAATCTACCCCTGTTCGGTTGCATCCATCTACATCTCTGGAGGACCACACTGATGCCATGAGATGGCTCAGCCCATGAGGTTTCCTGCAGGACCCAAACAGCCCTGCGGTCCCCCCTGGCTGGGACATTCAGTGGGGTTTCCTGGAGGAGACCAGCTCTCAACTGAACTTAATTGGCTCCAGGCCCATCTCCCTGCCCCGTCCTGCTTATGCCTTCACACCTGCTAATATTGATCTCAATGTGGACCTAGATGTACCGATGGAGAACAGCCCTCTCCAGGGTCTGCTGAACTGCCTGAAGGAGATACCCACCCACCTCAGTGACATGCAGGGAGACAGGGGACAGACGAGGCTGGAGATGGAGACAAGGGCCTGGCAAGCCACCGGTGAGCTCAAGGGTGTTTCTACCGCGCTGTACAAGACAGGCAGTGTCTCACGGGGTGTGGGATGCTTGTCCCCCTGTTCGGGGTCAGACTGACACCACATTTGGGGGCAGGAAGGAATTTTACCCCCTGGTCAGACTGGTCTGGACTGGGGGGGTTTGCCATCCTCTGTAGCAGGGGCACAGCCTCTGCCTGGGTATTGCCAACCTTTTTATAGAGGTAGGACCTTGGCTGCTGCAGTCGCCCTGCTTTCCCCGTGGCAGGTTCGGGTGTGCTGCCCGGTGCTGTGTTAGGGTTGGCGGTCGTCTTATGCAGCATTTAGATGATGGTTTGTTTGGGTTTATGCAGCATTTAGATGATGTTACAGCTCTTCCCCTACCATCCATGGGCTGATGGGCATGCCCACAATAACCACTACATATATATTGCCATACTATGTTCTTCCCATGCTACCTCCCCAGCAGTGCTTGACTCGGTGCAGGTGAGGTCTCAGAGGGCAGCCCTGGGGCGCAGGACATGGTTTCAGGCATGCCATTAATTAGGAAATTAGCTAGGAACAAACTCTGTGTGTCCTGCTGGAGGATGAGCCACTGACCCCCTGCCCCGGCACTGTCCAGGGAGCAATGACAGCTGCAGGACGGGGGCTGATCCATGGCCTGTATCAGCCGTGAAGACTGAGGTGATGGCAGAGAGCTCCCCGCTCCAAAGCCTGGAGAACTGTTTGAGGGACCTGGCTGCTGCGGAGAGGCCCAGTCATCCTGGCACACCTGAGAGCAGCCCCTGCAATGGCAGCTCTAGGCAGGAGCAGGTGCAGAGGAGCCTGGAGCTGAGGGCGGGGAGATGCCCCAGTAAAGGTATGGTACACCTGGGCAGAGCTGAGCCTGGCCCGTCTCCCGCTGGAGGCAGTGGGATGGCTCCTCTGGACCTTGGGGACCCTGGGGCTGGAGGCAGTTTGCACAGCTCTGCCATCACGGCACGGTGCCCGGGGTGGGGATCATCTTGGAGTAAACACCGTAGAGGCCGGCAATGGATGTTCCCTTGCAACGCCGGTCTCTGCTCCAGAGCTGGCCCATCTGTTCCTGCATCTCAGGCGTTTGCCAAGCATCTGGGAGCTGGAGAGTTGTGTCAGGAGACCGGAGGGTGTCATGGCATCAGAGGGGGTGGCACAAAGCCCTTGGTGTGAGATTCAGTTTGTGCCCCGTGCCCAGCCCAGCAGTTTTCCCTCAGCATGATGCCAGTCACAGGAGGTTTCCTCTGTCCGTGCCCTGAGTGCCGCCTGCGTTCTGGGGGCCGCAGGATGAATTGCACCCCTGAAAAGCCTCCCCTTGAAGCCCCAGCCCCTGTGGGGTTTGCAGTGCTGCAAGGAGGCATTGAACCCCCCAAATGTGTCTGTTCCAGTGCAATCTGCGGCAGGCACCCCTGATACCATGAGCGACCAACCCGGAGACAGACGGGGTCGTCCCAGCTCATCCAGCAGTGTGGAGGGAGAGAGGGAGCAGAGGGGGCTGCCGGAGCCGCAGGCCCCACCACGGTGCCAGGAAGGTGGGCTGCAACTCTTGCATCTGCACCCTTTGTGGGCACGAAAACAAGGGTTGTGGCTGCCAGACTGGGGGAGGCTGGATTGGAGGTGTCGGAGGCCCCAGAAGAGCCCCAGGATGTGGGAGGGATGTGGGGGGATCCCTTGGTAGCAGCCCTGGCTGGGGATGGCGACTGGGCTCTGCCAATGCTTCTGCTGGCACCAGGCTGCCGGGTCCCAGCGAGAGGGTCTTGCCCCTGCGCTCAGGGTCAGACTGATGCTGCACTGGGGGCAGGAAGGGATTTTACCCCCTGGTCAGACCGGTGCAGGCTAGCGGGGGGTTGCTTTCCCCTGTAGCAGGGGCACAGCTTTGGCTTGGGATCTCTTGAGTCTATATTAACAAACTTTTATAGAAGTCGGATGTTGGCTGCCACGGTCCTCCTTCTTCTCCTGGGGCAGGTTCGGGTGTGATGCCTGGTGTTGTGTCAGGGTTGGCGGTAGTTTAACCAAGAGTTTAGAGGATGGGTTTGTGTGGGCTGGTTTGGGGATCCTGCCTCAGGCTGGGGTTGGACTCGGTGTGACCTCTGGAGCTCCCTTTCAACCCCACTTCTCTAGGATTTCTCTATGATCAGACAGGGCTGCCTTTCAGGGCCAGGCATAAGCTCTCAGCTGCGTGGGTCTTCGGGGTTGGGAGCACATGAGGAGGGCACAAGGATGCGGGACCCGGTCTCTCTGCTGCCAGGTGCTGGTGACGGAGCCACCCGCCTCGGTGGGCTCTGCAGATCACGCTGGGACTGTGTTTGTCTGTGCCCAGCAGCTGTGCCAGCCGAGGAGAGCCCCTTGCAAGGCCTGCTCAACTGCCTGAAGGAAATCCTCGTCCGTGCGCCCCGGTGTCCCCCCTCGCTGCCCAGCGGGGCAGCCGGCGGCAGGGCTCCCGGGGAGAGCCTCCCATCCCTGCAGGGTGAGTGCATGTCTCCGCATCAGCTCTCACGTGTCTTGTAGAGTCAGATATTGCTCTCTGCCCATGGCCATCTTGCTCGGGAGCTCGCTGCTTGGGGGTTACTGAGAGGCAAGCATGGCCAGCACTTGAGGAAGGTGTAGCTACGTATTGGAGAAACCCCTTTGGGGTCAGGGACCTCATGGTCGTAACCCCATCCCGGCCGTGCTCTGGAGCAAGCAAGGAAGTGACAAAGGGCAGGATACAACACATGTTCCTTTAGTTAAAGAGAAGTTAGGAGCTTTACTAATATGCAGGGGGGGTGGCACCTTATTATTAGGTTGTGGACTCGCCATCCTTGGAGGTGTTTAAGACAAAGCCTTGGCTGGGATGATGCAGTTGGGGCTGGTCCTGCTTTGAGCAGGGGTTGGATTGGATATGACCTCCTGAGGTCCCGTCCAACCCAAATTTTCTATGAGTCTATGATTTTCTATTCTGTTTAAGAACAAAGCTGAACCAAATAGTACTGCGGGAACACACGCTCACTCGCTAGATTATATATGAAATTTAAAAACACACCACAAACTAGACAACAAAATAGTCCAAACAGCCCAAAGATATTGTGTCATTAGTCCCAGAGTCGTTAGTTCAACGCACACCTCCTGCTTGGATTCATTAAAACATCTAGTCTCTGTGATTGTCTTGACGGTGCCTCCAATCCTTCCAGGCCAGTCGTTTCTACACCTGAGCTAGTATCCCCCCAGCTTCACTCAGTCTGCAGGGCTGTGAATCACATGTCTTCCCATGGGAACAGCCTGACTCTTTTACATCACGGCTTCATCTCTTTCCCCTGCCCTTTGCTGGGTCCCGCGACCTCCTCTCTCCTCTTTTTCTGTGACCATTTTGGTTCACACAGTGGGCTTAAACCAGAGCATGTATTTCACCCGGGGTCACGCTGAAGCTGGATCTGCTGTTTCCCAGCCCCGAGGAAGGGCACGCCTCATCTGAGCTATCTCCCAGCTGCACAGTTGTCCCAATGAGGCTGAACAAACCCTGCCTGTGGCCCAGGTGAACGCTGAGCAAGGTGGGAATACACCCTTGCTCTGAGCCTGCCTTGCTGCTGGACCTGATTCTGCCTTTATCCTTGCAGTGAAGACAGAAGCAGCCTCGGGAGCTCCCCATGGCCCCGGGAGCCACCGGGCCCCGGCATCCTGCAGCATCTCCACGGGCCGGGCAGCAGGAGAGCGGTGCCCGCAGACCCTGGGCAGGAGCTGCCGGGGGGAAGGTGAGTCTGGGGCTGGCTGGAAATATGCCAACCACAGGAGTTTCCGCTGGAAAATCCCCCATTGCCCAAATCGAGATACCACAGGAGTGCACCCCGGTTCCTACACCCTTCTGTTGGGAGGCAGGTGGGTTTGTACCCGCTCGCCCAGCCTCCTGGGTCCCTGCAGTGAAGCCGGGGAGCCCGGATCTGGGCTGGGCAGGGGACATCCCTGTCTGCCCTGACTCGGGGGTCTCCCAGCCTTGCTGACCTCAGAGCGGGGCAGGGAAGCTGCATTGGGGTGCCGCTGTCCTCAGGGGTCTGGGGGAAGAGGAGACCGTGCCCTGGGTGCTGTCCTGGCTGTCTCCACCATGCAGGGACAGGGCTGAGGGTCCGGCTTGTTCCCAGGTGCAGTGAAGACTGAAGGCAGTGCAGCGCATTCCCCGCCCCGGGGTCCGTCCAGCGGTTGGAAAGAAGCACGTCGGCTTGGTGAGCCCACGCAGCCACGGGGAGGAGAGGAGCCGGGAAGGGGCGTCATTGCGGGGTTGTGGCAAGGAGGGATTCCCCCGCAGGCAGGGAAGAGGGACGGGGCCACAGCCAGGCTCACCCAGCCAGGCCTGGCTTCCAATATCGGTGGAGCGTGGAGCCAGGCTCTCATCTAGCAGGTCTCCAGGGCCTGTGAGCGGGTGAAGGCAGCAGCGACGGTGGGAGATGCGCTGAGTGGGACCATGCAGAGTTCAGGCAGTGCCTGGGGCTAGCGGGAATGCAGCCAGGACGGACTGCCCAGGGCAGGGGCCACCTGGCACCCACCCCCCAGCCTCTGTCTGGCCCCGCCAGACTCACCATCTCCTGCCCCCAGCACCTCTACCCTGCCCTGAGCTCCTGGCCAGGCCTGGACCCAGGCAGGGGACGGTATCCACAGATCAAACAACCCCCCAGCAGCAAACGGGGCTTGGGCCGGGACAGCCGAACTCAGAAGGAGACTCGCAGGTCCCCCCCATTAGCACAAGCGCAGCCCGTGGACCTGTGCCAGTCGTGGGCTGGTCACTGGCTTGCAGGGAGCAAAGCCCTTTGCATGGAAGTCTGCAGGCATCTGTGCCATGTCTGGACGTGCCCTTGCCCACTCACACCCATTCACCATGGTGGTGCAACCCAGAGAGCCTGCCGATAGCAACCTGAGCCATAGAGCTTGGGAGTCCCATCTGCTGATATTATGCCCATTGCTTCTGTAGTGAAAACAGAGGCCGGGACGGAGGATGCCACCTGGCAGAACCGGCTGCAATGCTCGGAGCATGCGGCTGCATGCAGGCCCTGTGCCCCCAGTGCCCTGGCTGGCCCTGTCTCTCCCCACAGCCTGGATGGGGACAAGGCACTGTGGAGGGTACCACTGGGGCCCTGGCACTTGTACCCTGAAGGTAGGGACGGTGCTGGCTCACGGGGGCAGTCCTGGGTGCCATGGGGTTGTAGCAGTGAGGATGTGGGGTCAAGCGTGACCCCTGGAGAACATGGGCCAGAGCCTGGGGCATCCCTGAGGACATGCTGTGTGTCGGGGGCTCCGGACAGGTGGGCGGACGCGCCAGATCTGTGCTGGGATCTGTGCTATTTCTGAAGCAGAGCCAACTCTGGGGACCAGCCCTCTCCATGGCCTGGTGAACTGCCTGAAGGAAATACCCGTCCCCAGCGCCTGTCTGTCCAGCCTGGCCGGAGCCGAGGCAGCACCGATGAGAGCATGGCCTGGAGAGGGTGAGTCCCAGTGTGTGCACAGCTCTGTCCCTACCAGGGCCGTGGGCACCCGTGCACAGACACACACGGCCTCTTGGGATTGTGATCTGCACACACGTGGCTTCCCAGCACTGCGGTGCAGTGACCCGCTATTGTAGGGGTCTTGCCTTGTGCAGGGCTGACACACACAGGTGCAAGGGAGAGGTGCTAACCACACAGCCCCTGCTAACCTGTGTCTTCAGCACCTACTACCCTTCACAAGTTGCTTCTCCAGGAAGCCCGGCTCAGAAGCGTGGCCTTCCCCTCCTGCTTGGCGTCCTCCCGGGGCCACGGTGCTTCTCCCAACCCGCCTTCCCCTTGCTCACCTCTCCCGGGTGCTTGGGTGGCCGTCCCCTGACGTGTACAAAGTCATTGGGGAGGGGGCTGGTGAGGCCCTGGGGTCACGCACTGTGGTTCATGCCTTATCCCCCCACAGCCAGCCCCTCACCTCCGAATGGAGTGAGCGTGGCTTCAAAGGCAGGGATGCTTGGCTGTGACAAGCTGGCGGGTCACTGGACGCGGTGGTATAAATGTTACGTCTGTCCATGTCTGTGTTCACGGGAGGTTTCCGAGGCTCAGAGCCCCGGAGAAGCCCTGGCTGCCTCCAGAGCTTGGGTTTGTGCTTTGTGTGAGCAGACGTCGGTGCTGAGAGCTCGCCGCTGCGGGGCCTGGAGAACTGCCTGAAGGACATCCCCGTCACCCAGCCGCGCCAGGCCCACCTGCCGGTCTGCCTCCCCTGCGGCAGCCCCTCGCAGCGGCCTCCCGGGATGGCGTGGAGGTCACTGGGAGACGGTCAGTGGCAGTGCTACAGCAATGCCAGTCAGCTAAAGCACTGGGGCTTTAGCCCTGGAGAAGCCAGGGCTGCAAGCACCACGGCTTTGCTCCACTTGTATGGTTATAGGAGCGTGCTGAGATAACCCTCACATCCTGACAACTTCCACCGTATCACTGGACACAAGGCTATGAATGTTATGTCTGTCCATGCCTGCATTTCCATCTCCCAGCCGGGAAGCAGGGCACCAATTTGAGAGGTGGCACCACAGTGTTTTGGGATAAATCCGGCTAGACTTGCAGGCAGTCCCCCAGCTGCCCCGTTAGCTCTCCCATAAAGGTAAAACTACCCAAGGCAAGGGCTGGTTAGCAGAGAGGCAGAGGCTTGATCTGATCCTGCCCATGGAAATTGTAGCATTGCCCCCGCTGCACCGACCCCAGGCTCCGTGAGCTGAAACGGGAGCAGTGAGACCCCGGCTGTACGCGGCGAGTGTACCCTGGCCCCAGGTCTATTTGGGCTGGCCAGGAGACACACGGAGAATGACCCTCCGCTGAAGCAGGGGAGCCCTTGGGTTTTGGGTCTGGCTTCCGTGGGGGCAAAACCCAGCGGTGTCTAGCATGCAGCTCTGTGGGTGAGATTATGTGCCATGGGGTCTGCAATCGCAGGGACCTGCAGGGCATGGTAGTGGCTTTGCCTTAGGCTGGAGAAGCGCTGGCCTCTATAACTAGCCAGGCACACTATTCCCTGTGGGGTTTTGCCCAACCCAATACGGTTAGCCCTAGTGTAGGATGGCAGCTGGGGGTATCTGTGGGAGATACCCTCTGCAGAGAAGTTTTCCAGAGAAGGTGTCTGAATTAGACCGGCTTCATGCAGCATTCCCACCTGCGTCCTGTCTTCCAGCCGGGGGTGAGGAGTGGGTCCATCCAGAGCTGGTCTCTTCAGAGCAAAGGGTTTTGGTTATCCCCGAGGTCACCTCAGCAGAGTGACACAAGAGCTGAACTCGGGTTCAGCGTCCCTGGGTCTGTGGCTGCAGGGACTGGACTAGGAGCAACCGCTTCCAGCTGCAGCAGGGGAAACTGAGGCTGGAGACAAGGAGCTTCCTGACTCTGAGCAGGGTCCGGCATCAGCACGGGCTGCCTGGAGGAGTTGTGAAGTCTCCATCCTTGGAAGTTTTCAAGAGCAGGTTGGACAGACACAGGGATCAGCAAAGGGATCAGGGTGTGAGCAAAGGGGGGACTGGGTGCCCTCCTGAGGTCCCTTCCAGCCTGATTTCCTATGATCCTAAGCTCCCGCCAGGCAAACAGAGTGGATAGGCAGAGACAGGCTCTCCCCGCTGCCTTGACAGTGTGATGCCAGGGGGAAACGGAGCTGAGGCAGGCTTTTGTGTGCTGTGAGTTGCTGGCTTCACCTGTGCTCTTCCTACAGACCTCGGTGCCGAGACCTCCCCGCTCCAGGGCCTGGAGAACTGTCTGAAGGAAATCCCCGTGGCTGTCCACAGCCGATGCGTCACACCTGCCAGCAGATCCTCGGTAGGCAGCACGCCGGAGGGACACAGGGGGCCTGAGCTGGCCACGCGGCCCCTGAAAGCTGAAGGTACGAGAAAACATTGAGCTGGGTCAGCTTGGCGATGCTGGGCATCCCCAGACAGCTGCAGTACAGCCTGGTGAGGGGTCTTTGGTATGAGCTGTGCTGGCCCTTGTGCATGGCAGGGGGGTTGGCTGTCAATGAATGTCAAGTGGGTTTTCACCAAGGGGCCTAGCCACCACCACCACCTGAAGGGGAGAGGCTGAGGGGACTGGGCTGATTGAGTCTGCAGAAGAGAAGACTAAGGGGGATTGACTAGCAGCCTTCACCTCCCTGCAGGGGGGCTGCAAGGAGGACGGAGCTGGGCTGGTCTCAGTGGCGGATGATAGGACAAGGAGCAATGGGCTCAAGCTGCAGCAAGGCAAGTTGAGGTTGGATATTAGGAAAAACTCTCACTAGGAGGGTGGTGAAGCACTGGCACCGGCTCCTGGAGAGGTGGTAATTGATTCACCCCATGCAGTCCACTCCTGCAGTCAGGTCCCTGGAAAGGCTGAGACTGTGGGGCCGGGGTCAGATGAGACCCTTTAGCAAGGACCCAATGGGCCACAGAAACGGAAATGTCCTCTTCTCCACAACGTGGATCCCACCCCACTGTGGGTGCTGGAGGGTTGGATGGTGGGTGGGACGCCACTGCTGCCACCTGGGCTGCTCCTGTCCATGGGCCATGGTGGCAGTCATAGACATATACACAATGAGGGCTGGAAGGGAGCTCTGGAGGTCACATCCAGGCCAACCCCCTGCTCCAAGCAGGACCAGCCCCAACTACATCATCCCAGCCAAGGCTTTGTCAAGCTAGGTCTTCAAAACCTCCAAGGATGGAGATGCCATCACCTCTCTGGGTAGCCTGTTCCAGTGTTTTACTACCCTCATCATAAGCAAGTTTTTCCTAATATCCAACCTCAACTTCCCTTGCTGCAACTGGAGCCCATTGCTCCTTGTCCTGTCATCTGAAAACAGTCCAGGTCCATCCTTCTTTGCACCCCACTTCAGGGAGGTGAAGGCTGCTATTCAATCCCCCTCAGTCTTCCCTTCTGCAGACTAAATCAGACCATTTCCCTCAGCCTGTCCTCACCAGTCATGTCCCCCATCACCCGAATCATTTTCGTTGCCCTCCACTGGACTCTCTCCAATGTGTCCACATCCTTTCTGCAGTGGGGGACCCACAGCTGGACACAGGACTCCAGATGTGGCCTCCCCTGTGCAGAATAGAGGGGGAGAATCACTGCCCTCCATCTGCTGGTAACGCTCCTGCCGATGCAGCCCAGGATGCCGCAGGCTGTAGCACAGTGCTGCTCACAAGCAGAGGATTTCCGGGGGGCCGGGAAGGCAGTGTCCCTGGTCGAGCGGGGGCAACAGCCCCACAGACCTCCCAGCTCTCCCAGCCTTGCACTGATGTCGATTTTGTTGCTTTAGTTAAGATCGAAGCTCTTCCGGAGAGTTCCCGTCTCCACGGCCCGGGGATCTCTGAGAAAGAAGTGCCCCATTATCCCAGCAAGCTGGCTTCCTGCAGTGTGGAAGGAGACCTGGGGCTGAGGCCAGCGGATGCTGGAGCCTGGCACTCGTACGTGGACGGTGAGTCCCTGACCCTTGCAGCTGGGTTTAACTCCGTGCTGGGGGATGATGCATCAGTCCAAGTGCGTGCAGGTGGACGGCTGTGTTGTGCTGGGCAGCGCTGGGGTCCAAAGCACACCATGTCCTTCATTTTGCCCTTGGCCAGGCACACGCACACTCACTCCAGCTCCCTGCTTGTATCTCCTTCCCTGCTAGCCTCTAGAAAGAGCCCAGATCTTCCTTCCAGAGGGTGGAGGGCAATGAGGTGGTGCAGCAGGGCTCGGGTGTGGAAGGAGCTCCTTCAAAGCGCCCGGGGACCAGGCAGGGGAGGCGCCGGGGCTCAGCTGCCCTGCTTAGTGCATTACGTATGGCTGACCTAGTTACGCAGGCTGCAGGCCATCCCGGCCATGTGTCTGTCCAGCGGCTCCCGAGCATGCCATCTGGGCAGCCTGTTCCAGTCCGTGCTGGACCACACTCACAGCTCATCTCGAACTTAAATTCCCCTGCTGCAGCTTGAGGCCGTTGCTGCTAGTCCAGTCCCCTATGGCCACAGAGAAAAGCCCGTCTCCATCCTGTGTGTCATCACCCTTCGGGGAGTTGCAAACTATTAACAACTCCCCCCGCAAGTCTTCTTTTCTCTTCTCCAGATTAAATAACCCAAGCTCTTGCAGCCTGTCCTCATCAATCTCGCCTCTCGGGCCCCTAATCATCTATGATGCTCTGAGCTGGAAGAATAGGTCCGCGTCCTTCGTGAAGCGCGGGGCCTGGGACGGTGGCTCTGCGCTCCCAGCCTGCAGTACAGGGGCCTGGGGCAGCTGCTCTTCCATGTTTCCCTGTCCTCTGCCTTTCTCTGGTATCAGGCCATCAAAGCAGCAGCTGCTCGCTGCTATCAGCGAGGCATGCCAGTCCGAACGGAGCAGGGAACAAAAGGTCCTTTGCAATGTTCACAGCGGTCGTGCCTTTCTCAGCACCTCCCAAGAGTCTGGATCTGACCCTGCCCTGCTCCGCTCCAGATTGCCTCCGGCTTCCTCCCTCCAGCTGTTCGGCTCCGCTCTTCTTGGCTCTCCAGCAGGGCTGAGCGCACGTCCTTAGGATACACTGGATAGATGCTGCCATGGGCAGACCTAGGATTTGCAAAGGGGGGCATCCCACATAGCCCAGCACATATTTTTCTCCAGGTACAAAGAAACTAGAAGCTTTGCTAATAGGCTGGGGGCCTAGGGATGGATTTTCCAGTTTAAGATTGAAGCAAAAACCAATGTTGCAATGAGTTAAAAACTGCCTGCAGGGCTGAGAAATGGGAGCTACCAGGAGCGACAAACAGACGGCAACTTTGCAAAGCAAAGGCTAGCTTGATTAGCGGACTATCAAGACCATGTGCGTTGCTCCAAAAGGCCTATTCACCCTCCTGTAATGGGGGTGCAGGTGTCTCCTGTTAGGTAGGCTGGAGGACACTCATCCCCGTGTCTTCTGGCCCCATCCCCAGTGGTGACGGAGTCTCATTTCCCTTCCTCGCATGGCTGGAGAGCAGGCCGGCGAGGCTGGGGTACTTCAAGGGGCCTGGCGAGATGCAAGGGAAGCTCAGAGGTGCAAGGCGGGGGCTGACTCATCTCTGGCTAAAGCAGGAGCAGCCACGGAGGACACGCCACCGCTCCGGGGCCTGGAGAACTGCCTCAAGGACATCCCTGTGCCCCGGCCCAGATGTCCCAATGCAGCAGCTAGCCCCTTACGAGCCAGCCTGGCCCAGGCGGACGTGGAGCAGCGGAGGGCAGCGCCGTGGCCCTGGGGAGCGAGTGCGGGAGGTAGGATGAGGGGATGGATGGGCACTGGGGATGCGGATGTGCTTGTGGGGGAGACCGGGGCTGAGGGGAGCAGGGAGGGATGGGGCGAGAGGCCTGGGGGACCTTAGTGCCCGCTATTTAATTTTGCAATTTAATCTTGCAACTATTTAATCATGCAACTCCCCCAGCCCAGGCAGTCTCTCCCATCGCCTGGGCTCCTCCCTGTGCCCTGGAGATGCGCCGGCTTGGCCCTGACGCTGGGGGCTCTGGCCTTGCTCCCCCAGCAGCAGGGGATGAGTGTCCCCTGCTCCGTGGCCTGATAAGCAGCTGGACGGAGGTGCCTGTCTGCAGACCCAGCACCTCCAGCACCGCCTCCGCCGGCAGCACCGAGACAGAGCCCGACCCACGGAGCCCCGGGATCGGGACGTGGAGTCGGTGCCATGACGGTGAGCCAGAGCCAGGGTGGTGCAGCAGTGTCCTGCCATCCCTTCACACCGGTCGCTGTGTCCCGTGGCGCAGGTCGATCACGTGGTCACCTCTTCTCCCTCCACAGGCGCCAGCTCCCAGAGCTCCCCTCCGCAGGGGCTGCAGAACTGCCTGAGGGACCTCGCCGCCCCCGTGGGCTGCACCGCCAGCCCCCCGGATGCGAACGGGTCGGCCGGCGGTGGGGTGCAGACGAAGCCGAAGCCCTGGCTGTGCACGCTGGATGCTGCAGGTAGGAGGAGAGCAGGGGCTGCGCCTTCTCTGCATCCTTATCCTGTCTCAGGCTCCCTTGGTGGCTCTGCTCGGGGCTGCTGTAGGGACCAGGGGGGTCACGGGAGCGTGTTAACGAATGGGGCTCGGGTAGGACAGGGGGGCATCCGCTCCTCCTGCACCTGCCCCAGGGACTAGGGGCCATCAGGGCTGCATGGAAGGGGAAAAGCGGTGCGTCTGCAAGGGTGGGGAGTGGATGGAGCCTCTCTTGCCCCCGAGCCCAGGCTGGATTTGTGCATCTTGTTTTACCGCAGACACAGCCCCCAAGCACTCCCCCCTGCATGGCCTGGAAAACTGTCTCAGGGACCTTGTGAGCGAGGGACGTTTTGGCTCCAGCAAGGGTGACGTGCCGGAGCCCGAGACGTGGGCTCCGCAGGAAGGTAAGGCCGAGGGGGTGTGCCATCGCACACCCAGGTGCAGAGGGTGGGGTGACCCCGAATAGCAGGCCCAGCCTGGCTGCAATAGGAAGCTTATAAGGGGTAGGATGGCCCTAAGACCTCCCTGCATTATTCAGTGTCCGGTTCCACGGCTCTGATTTCTGGAGGGGTTGGGGAGACCCTCAAGGATGCTCTGGAGCTAGAGCCGCAGCAGCAGCAGCAGCAGCACGTGGTCCGCTTTGAAGTGCGCATGTCGCAGCGCTGCACAGAGCGGACCAGGAGAGGCTGAGATCACTGGGAACATTTAGCTCGGAGACAAAGCAATTAAGTGGGGACATGACAGCAGTCCTCAAGTACCGGACTGTCTGCCTTAGAGAAGAGGGGGAACAACCACTCTCCCTTGCTGCAGAGAGCCGGACCCGTAGCAATGGCTGCAAATAGCAGCAGCGTGCATTTAGCTTAGATCTTCCTTGCTGCCAGGGGAGCAGTGGGATCTCTTGCCCTGGAGGTTTCCCTGAGGAGGCTGGAGAAGCCCGGCTGGGGATGGTTTGGGAGCAGCATCCTGCATCCATGCAGGGCTTGGACCAGGCGAGCTGCGAGGTCCCTTCCAGCCCTGCGGTTCTAGGGAGCGCAGGGACCCGGTCTGACTCCACTGGGTGCCCAAAGCGGTGCCAGCCACGAGGCCCAGACCCCATTGTGTTTTGCATTCATTGCAGCCTCGGGCAGGGTGTGCACTCACAGCACATGGAGCTGTTTGGGGGAGACACCTGTGAGCAACTTGGGACACGCGGACCCTCCGGCCAGCTGCTGGTGCTGCAGGGCAGGGGGCCGGAGGGGGGGGCACAGCCAGCCCTGCCCCTGCAGCCTCCCCCTTCATGTCTCTGTTGCAGAGATCGGGTACGTGATGGCAGCCGGCAGCCCCTGCCCTGGCCAGGAGGGCCCTCCCACTGCCAGCCTCGCACGCCGTGAGACACCATCCAGCCCTGCGCAGGGGGAAGAGGATACCTCCGCGAGGGGCACAGTGGCTCGGGGGGGGGGGGGCCGGGCAAGGCTCCTTCCGGCGCGGCCCAGCCCTTGTCTCCCAGCTCGAGGGAACCTCCCATGAAGCCCGTTCCCACCGCCCCAGTGGGAGCTGCCACACAGCAGCCTCTGACCTGGTTCCAGCGTCCCTGGGAGCACGACGGCCCTGCAGAGCCCTCTCCCTGCATCCCCCCGCTGCCCGCACCAGCCACGGGACATGCACCTCTGAGCTGGGGAGTGACCAGCCTTGCCTGGTAGCAGCAAGCTTTGGAGCTGCTTTGTGCTTTGCTTAAAACAGAGGCAGCTGCAAGCAATGGCCCGAAGAGCTGGGTGGAGGACAGTGCTGTGCACAGCCCCCATTGCTCCAGCACGGAGGACCAGGAGCTGAGAAGGTTGGAGCTGGGAGCCAGGAGATGCCGCGGAGGAGGTGAGAGGAGGGGCTGGCTGCTGGAGGAGCCGGCTCCAGGCACCCAAGTGCAAGGCAGAGCAGCCCAGGAGGGGCTTGGTGTCCGCACAGGGCACTAAAGGCCGAGGGGAGCTGTCGGCGCTCAGCCTGGGTGCAATTGGGGATGGGCAAGAGTCAGGGAATAAACTGTGGGGGCAGAGGGCCCTGCCTGCAGGGGTGAGGCACAGCTGGCCTTGGCACTTGCAGAGCTTCCCTTAGCCACAGGCATCGTAACATCAGAGCTGCCATGTACTGGGTCAGACCCCAGTCTCCTGTGTCACACGCGGGCAGAGAGCGGAGGCTGGAAGGGAGAGTGACCTGGGCACAATCAGGGTTTCCCCCTCTTCCTCTCTCCCTTGCAGCCTCCAGCATTGAAGGTCCAGCAACTTGTGACATAGAGGCTGTGCCCCCCACCCCTGTGCTTAAATAGCTACCGATGCCCCTTTCCTCTAAAACATGTCCAGTCCCTTTGTGAATCTGGCTGAACGCTCAGCTTCCAGCACATCTGGTGGAGATGAGTCCCCACTTGAAAGCCGCGCTGGGCGACCAAGAACTGCCTTGTGTTCATTTTTAACTGACGGCCTGATCCTTTAATTTTGTGCCCCCCTCCATTCTTGTCTGGTGAGGGGCAGTCAGTAATAAATCCCTAGTGACTTTCTCTTCACCATTGAATACTTTGTAAACCCTTTTCTTGTCCCTCCGCCAGGCATCTCTTACTTAAACTGACCAGGTCTGGCCTCGTTAGTCTCTTCTCCTAGGGAAGCCCCTCCACAGCCCTTGTCGTCCTTGCAGCCCTTTTCTGCACCTTCTTTAGTTCGTCTCTCTCCTTTCTGAGGTGCGGGGACCAGAGCTGGGCACAGCGTTCAAGATGTGGATGTACCGTGGATTTACAAAGGGGCATGATGATACTTTCAGCATTTGCTCAAGCACAAGACTCAGCCTGGGGCATTAGAGGGGGGTCTCAGGGACGACACATGGGATCTCTAGGGCTAGAAACTGGCCTGGGTGTTGTGGGGCTAGCAGAGGAAGGGGGGAAGCACCAGGGAGCCCTGGCATGCTGGGGTGGAGCCGGGAGTCAGGGGTGGGGAGGTCCAGGACAAGATGGAGCATGACCCCTCTACTGGCCACGTGTAGATGACGGAGCAGAGATGGTCTTTGTCTCGGCAGAAGCGACGAGGGAGACCTCCCCACTCCACAGCTTGCTGGGCTGTCTCAAGGAGATCCGCACCGCGGGGCCATCTCCCTCCCACGCACCAGACAGCAGCTCATCTGCTCACAGCACCCGGTGCAACGGGGCCCAGGAGAGAATGGGCAGCAGGGCCGGGACCCCGTCTGGCGAGGGTGAGCGGCTCTGATGCAGCTCAGGCTTTGGGATTGCCAGGAGAGTTGAGAGGCTGTGCCTCCGTGCCTGCACCAGGGACACGCTCCAGGCAGCGCGCTGGCTGTCGGTGTGGGCCGGAGCCACAGGCAGGATGAGTGCGTGGGGTACACGCTGCAGGGGTGCGTCTGCCCTCAGCGGAGAGGAAGGTGGAAAAATGTGCGCAACCAAAGCAGGTTACAGCCCGAGGGAAGCGCTGGGTCTCGCTGAGCAGCCAGTTGCACCCTGTGCTCTGCTCAGAATCACAGGATCCTAGACGCCGGGGGCTGGAAGGGAGCTCAGGAGGGCACATCTAGTGCAACCCCCTGCTCAAGGCAGGACCAGCCCCAGCTACATCATCCCAGCCAGGGCTTTGTTTATTGAGGTCTTCAAAAACCTCCAAGGATGGAGAGTCCGCCACCTCTCCAGGTAGCCTGTTCCAGAGCTTTACTCCCCTCCTCATAAGGAAGTTTTCCCTACTATCCAACCTCAACTTCCCTTGCTGCTTGAGCCCACTGCTCCTTGTCCTGTCATCTGCCCCCAACGAGAACAGTCCAGCTCCGTCCCCTTTCAAACCCCCCTGCAGGGCGTTGAAGGCTGCTATTAAGCCCTCCCTTCAGTCTCCTTTTCTCCAGACTAAATCAGCCCAGTTCTCATAGTCTTTCCTCACAAGTCCTGTCCCACAGCCACCAAACCATTTTTGCTGCCCTCCGTTGGACTCTCTCCAATGTGTCCACCTCCTTTCTGTCGTGGGGGGCCCACAACTGGACACAGGACTCCAGATGTGGCCCCCCCAGTGCTGGATAGAGGGGAAGGATCTGCTGGTAACGCTCCTCCCAATGCAGACCAGGATGCTGGTCGCCTTCTTGGCACCAAGGGCACACTGCTGGTTCATCTCCATCTTATTGTCCGCGGTCACCCCCAGGTCCTTTTTTGCAGAGCTGCTGCCCAGCCTGTCAACCCCCAAATTGTACTGATGCATGGGGTTGTTCTGTCCTAAGTGCAGGACTTTGCACTTGTCTTTATTGGACCTCATGATATTTCTTTTGGTCCAATCTTCCAGTTTGTTGAGAAGGGAGAGGATGCCAGCCCCAGGGGAGAGGCAGCCAGTGCAGAAACACTCATGATCAGAGCAGAAGCAGGAGCAGGAGCAGAAGCAGGAGCAGGAGCAGGGTTCCCATGTGGACCTGGCCCTCAGAGGATGTGGTTGCAAGTGGGTTTCTTGCCCTGGTGAGACCAGTGTCTGGACAAACAGGCTGAGATTTCCACCCAGGCTAGAGAAGAGTGGATGCCTTGCTGGCATTGCCCTGGCCGGGGGCTGGCACGGCCTGTCCGGCATGGGTCATCCTTGTCTAATTCTGCCTTGTCATATATAATGTTGACTGTCCCCACCAGAGACATGTCCATGGGGTAACCCCTGAGGATGTGTTCAAGGGAAGTGATTCTTCCCTTGTGTTTTCACTGGGGAGGCCCCCCCAATGCTGGGCCCTGGATGATTTGGAAAGAATCCAGTTCAGAGTAACAAAAATTATTTGGGGCCTGGGAAGCAAGACTGATGAGGACAGGCTGAAGGGGTGATTTAGTCAGGAGAAGGGAAGAGTGAGGGGGAATTTGTAGTCTGCAAACCCCTGAAGGGCGATGACGGATATGGGCTTTTCTTTGTGGCTGTAGGGGACAGGACAAGGAGCAACGGCCTCAAGCTGCAGCAGGAGAAACTGAGGCTGGAGATGAGGAGGGACTTTCTGACCCTGAGGGTGGTCCAGCACTGAAACAGGCTCCATGGAGCAGCTGTGGAGTCTCCGTCCTAGGAAGTTTTCAAGAGCAGTTGGACAGACACTTGGTTGGGATGGTTTTGAGCAGGGGGCTGGATTAGATGTGATCTCCTGAGGTCCCTTCCAGCTGGATTTTCCTATGACCCTATGAGATTCCCTGCTCCGACCACCCCTACCCCCTCTGAGGGTAACCCAGTACGGACGGCCAGGTTTCAGCCTGTGCATTTCCATGTGCCAGAGGACACTGGGCTTTCCCGGGAGCTCCCTGGGAACAGCATTGTTGGGTCCTTGGCAGAACATCGCTACGTCTCCCAGTCACCCCCTTTCCCTGAATTTCTGCTCTGCAGAAAAGAGCAAACCTTTGGCCCAGGCAGACACTGGCAGTTCAGCTGCCAGGACACTTCCTCCCCTGGATGCTGCCTTTGGTTGGACTGAAAACAGTGGTGTCCTCTAGACAAATGGTTTCCTGCAGGAATAAGGCTTCTTTGGATCTGGTGATGACTGTCGGTCGCGTAGCGCTCACGGGCAGGTGGGGGCCTGTCTTTAATGTGGACTTTCTCTGCAGTCCTTCCATCAGAAGAGGGCCCTGCGGACGCCCCTCGCTACAGCTCAGCAGCCTGTGCCGAGAGACCACCTGGAAATGAAGCCGGTTGCTCTGATGTGCAATGCGGCACGTCCGCCGGCAGTGCTCAGGTCCGCGGGTGTCTCAGGAGACCGGAGAAGGGCTCGAAGAGACCGCATCCTGCAGGTGAGGGCATCGCTTTGCTCCTGCAGCAGGTCTGAAACTGCACTTCTGTTTGAGTGCCTTGATTCTCCCCGGTGCTGAGCTCCCGGTGCCCGTGCCCTCTGAATTGGGCCTGCATTTAGGAGCCTGAGGGTATTGCTGTACTGCCCCCGTAGCCTGAACTCACCCCTAAACAAAGGTGTAGACTTGTGCTATGCAGGTTCTTGGCTTGTGATCTGCTCAGCTCTTGCAAACTCAGCCGAGGTTTGGCCCGGTCGGTTGGTGGGTGGGAGCCATCAAGGGAAAAGTTGAGTGAGTCCATCCTGAGCTGCAGCCCCAGCACAATGCTTGGAGATGCTTGGAGAGGTCAGATAGAAACCTGAGACTCTGGTGCCATTATTAAATCCCTGGGACTTGGTAGGAGCAGAGGTCAACAAGCCCCAAAGTCAGTCATGACCCCTTGTAACAGGCCTCAAGGGACCCTGTTATGATAAGAGGAAAAGTACAGCAGGGAAGGTCTGCAGTCCGGTGCAGGCAGAGGACCGTGGGATGGCTACAGGAGAGGGAGCAGCTAGAGGAGGCCGAAGCAACGGGGGACAGGCCTGCAAGTTGCTACTGGGGAGCTGGCTGCAGGGCAATAGCCAACAGGGAGGAGGCAACCCCAGGTCCAGTCCTTTGTACCTGCCTCTGCAGCATAGTTGTCTCTCGCCTCCTTTGCTGCCTGTCCTAACCGCTGCATGGTGGTGCTGGGTGATGTTAAATATTCACTGCCTGTCACCTGGGGCAGCGTCAGCATGGTGCAGACGGTGCTCGGGGTCCTCATTGCTGTGTGGTGCCATCGGAGTGGGCAGGGGGCCTGAACTGACCCTTTGCCCTGCTCCCGCTCTCTCTGGAGGTGCCGCAGGGCAGCAGCAATGTAGGCAGCAATTTCTGGTTGTGCGGGGCTGGGATGGACAGCATGGGAGACATGCTGATGGTCGTGGCTTTGCTGTGCATGCTCAGAGCTTTCTGTTCTCTGCCTTGCAGCCCAGGGGGATGCTGCTCGGCCCCCGAGGTCCAGCTCCCGCGGTCCTGATGCCTCTGAGCAGCAGACAGAGGCAGAGTGGGACACGTCCCCCAAGAAGCAGTGCCCCACTGCAGCCCCCGCCCCAACCCCCAGCGAGTCCTGCAGCTGCGAGAGCCACACGCCGCGGGTCTTCCAGGTGGAAACCGGTCACTTCCAAGCCGTCCTCTCGGAGAAGCTGGACCGAATCTCCGAGGATGTCGCCACCCTCTGCAGGGACGTCTCGAGCATGCGGCGCCGCATGGCGCGGCTGGAGCAGGAGGCGCGGGGCTGGGCCCGGGAGGCCACCGCCCTCCGGAAAGGCAGCCAGGGCCTGAGCAAGACCATCGGGCGGCTGGAGCACCGCTGTCGCGCGCTGGAGACCCGCGCCCGGCGCAACAACCTGAGGCTGCTGGGGCTGCCTGAGGGCACGGAGGGTGGGGACGCCATTGCCTTCCTACAGACGGCCTTGCCCGGGATGCTGGGGCTGCCCACTGATGCCCCGGCCCTGGAGATCGAGAGCGCGCGCCGCGTGCCTGGGGGGACGCGCTGCGACCCCGCTGCCACCGCCCGGCCCCGGGCGCTCGTGTTCCGGCTGCTGCGCTTGGCGGACAAGGCGGCCGTCCTGCGGGCAGTGAGGAAGCGCGTGGAGCCGCTGGTCTGGGGCAGCACACGGGTGGCCATCTTCCCCGACGTCTGTCCCAAGCTGTCCCGGAGGAGGAGAGCCCGGCACACGGCTGGCGGGCGCATCTGGCGGGCGGCAGAGCTCCGCGTCGGCCCTCGGCCCTCCGGCTGCCCACGAGGACGGAGGGAGCTGCTGCCTGGCCCCCCGGCGGGCACCTGGGACAGAGAGGAGAGGGAGGGCAGGGGCCCGTCTGGGCACTGAATGCGGACTCAGCCTCACTCGCTCAGCTTAGCCCCGCTTTGACGGGTGCCTCTGCTCTGCGGGGAGATGGCAGGCCTGGCCGGCAGGGCTTGGGGCACACCAATCCCAGCGTTTTAGCCTGCCGCCAGCGCTCCGATTCCCAGGTGCCTGGGCTTTGCCCCCGCAGCTCAAAGCCCCCTGCCACGTGCTCTCAGCAGCTTGGACACGGCAGTCTTGGGGTTATCAGGCAGATCGTGGCACTTGTGTGCCGATTTCTCATTCGTGAGCTGCTCTGGGGGTGGCTGTGAGTGCTGGTCTCGCCCTGGGGGTCGTGTCTGTCACCCTGACAAGCCCCCTTGTCCGCTGTCTCCTGTGTAGATCTCCACAGCTGCATTTTTCCACCATGGACCCGTGACTTGGCTGCAATCCCCGACAGGGCCGCGGGGCCTCTCGTCTGCTCTGGGCAGGCGGCAGCGCCGCAGGGCAGCGCCTGGAGCCTTTGGAGGAGAAGGGGCTTAACCTCACACCTGCCTTTCAGCCTCCCTTCCCCCTACCCCGTCTTGCACCTTACTGCACCCAGCCCTGCTCTTACGCACGTCATCCCAGGGCACACTCGGACTCCGCGCCCCTGCTCCTCCCCGGCCGTGCCCCGCGCTCTCCCGGGGGTTGCAGGTGTGGCTCCTCTGCAAGGAGCATGCAGCAGCGGGGAGTGGGGCTGTGCATCCTCAGGGATCTCCGTGTCCGCGCTCTGTCCTGCTGGTGCCGGTGGCTGTCACTGCTCCCCCACGCTCTCCGCACCTTGCATTGTTCAGCCACATTAAACCTTGGTTTGCAAAGCGGCTTTGTCCTTTGTCTGCCCCCTGCTCTACAAGCTCAATAAGCCAGAAATTGCGCTCTGACACGGGGTAGTCCTAGCTGCTCCATTGACTCCAGGAGTGATGGGGAAATTCCCCAGGCAGCTCCGTGCCAGGAGGACCAGGACCCCAGATTCAAAAAGGGATCAGACGTGCTTGGAGCAAAGGGACATCGGTCGCTATTGAGCAGGGAGTGGGGGGCACGGCCTCCAAATCAGAACTGGGGGGAGCTCAGGGAGGGGGAAGCGGCTGAGATGGGCTCTCGGCAAACGTTGCTGTTAGAGCAAGGGGCCGTGGAATAGGTGTCAGGAGGGGGGCTCTCCATGGCAAGGAGAGGTTGGACAGCCCCTGGTCGGGATGATCTTGGTGCAGGATGCCTGTGCTCTGCTATGGGGGTTTCTGCTACAAGTATTGGGGGGTTTTGAAGCCTCCCTCAGAGGTGCTGCTGCAGCCAGGCTGGGGCTGAGGCCCGGGCTGTGCCAATGCCCCTGCTGGGATCAACCCCCCTGCGCTCGGGATCAGACCAGTGTCATATTCGGGAGGAATTTTACCCCAGACTGGGGGGCTTGCCTTCCTCTGTAGCAGGGCACAACCTCCCTTGAGCACATATTACCAACCTTTGACAGGCATTTTGGCAGCCGCGGCCCCTTGCTTTCCCTGGGGCACGGTCAGGTGTGATGTTGTGTCAGGATGACGGCTGAGAGGTTAGAGACTGGCTTTGTCTGGGCTGGTTTGGACAGGGCTGATCCTGCCTCAGGCAGGGGTTGGACTCGACGTGAACTCTGCAGGTCCCTGCCAGCCCCGCTGCCCTAGGGTTTCAGGGCAGGGTGTCTGCAGCTTGGTGCCGGCACCGGTCTGCGCTCGGTGCCAGCACCCAGCGGGAGCACGGCCTGGCTCTTGCTCGTCCAGGCCTTTCAGACAGCCGTGGACTTGCGCCCTGCTCCTTCCACGCCGGGTGCTGGGAGAGAATCGGAGCTGATGGGCCGCTGGATGTTTCCCTCCTGCTCCCCAGGCAGCTCCCACGCGCTGATGGTGCTAGCCTTTCCCGCGCGTCCCCTTCGCCCTGAATCGTGCCCACGAGCAAGCAGAGGCAGAGCCTGCACGGCTAGGGTAGCTCTTGCTGCCCCGGGGTGCTGAGCTAGGAGCCTGCGGGGGCCAGGGGTTTTCCCGGTCCTCTCCCTTGCAGCCTCCAGCGTGGGAGGCGGAGGCAGGTCTGATGCAGAGGCCGTGCCCCTCGCCCCTGTGGTCCGAAGCTCCTGGTGCTGCTTTCCTCCAAGCACGCGTCTAATCCCTTTGTGAATGGCTGAACTCCCCGCTTCCCCCACATCTGGGGACGAGTCCCCACGTTAACGCCACGCCGGGTGACCAAGCGCTGCCTGGCGTTGGCTTTCAACTGCCGGCCTGCGCCTTCTATGCAGTGACGCCTCGTTTTTTGTCGGGTGCCAATAATAAACCCCTGGGGACTTCTCCTGTCCGTCCCCGCCACGCATCTCTTTCCACCCCCCCGCCTGGCTTTGCTAGTCTCTCTGCAG